ACACATAACCGATTAAAACATGATAATGTTCTCTTTGTAGTGTGAGAAAATGCCAAATGTTAATTATTAAAGCAAAAAAAACAAAACAAATCTAAATCTGAATTTGCTGCTTTTATATCAGTTTTCGTGCCCAGGAGCTTGGCTCCAGGTTGTAACGTGATTTGATTCATTTTAATGACGCCACAAATGAAACCACTTTTCTACTCATCATTGTGGGGGAAATCTTTTGTCTTCTGAAAAAACCCATCCCTTTCATTCTGTCTTGTCACCTAAAAAGCAAATCCGTGCACCAGATTTAAACATTAATGAATCTTCTTTTTATGCAACCCTTAATGTATTTTTTTGGTCACGTGCCAAAAGAGCCACTTTGTTTTTGTGTTGTTGTTTTTAATGCATCATTTTATTCCACTCAGTGTTAGTCACAAGGTAACAAACCATCATTAATAATTTAAAAAAAAATAAGGCTTGCTTCATGCAACATGTGCAGCTGCTCCCAGGTTCTTCACAAAACATTGAAATACAGTAAAGATGTATTTTTTATATTGTATGGCCATGAAAGACAGCCTCATTTGGGTGTACGCCTAAAGAGCAACTTGCTTGTTGTTCTTTTCATCAAGCAACTCAGAAGAGCCCCCCCAATCACCCCGTCCTCCTCACCATATTTTCACCTTTACCTCATTAGCATTAATAAAGACGTTGCTGTGATTTTAAGCAGGGTGCAAAGAGTGGGCAGACAGAAAAAAATCATAAATGAAACGTGATCAGTTTCTCGTCCAGCTCATCAAAGCCTTTTTTTTTTTACAGTTCTAAAACACAAGCTCCCTCTGCCCAGTCCGGATCCGTCGATCAGGAGAGACTGGAGCACCTTCTGACCTCATTACTCAGCTAAAGACGAGCTGCTCTTTGTTCTTTCTGCTGCCTGTAACACCACGTTTCCTCCACCTGCTCCGCTCTATCCATCTTCCTCTTTGCTTCTTACTAACAAGCTGTCTTTTTTTTTCCTTCCTGAGATTGGGCCAGCAGATTTAACAATCCTAACCACTTCCAGTTCTGTAACAGCAGTGGAATACATTTTCACTGTACAGTCATTTTAATAAGAATGAAACAAAGGAAGTTGATTGTGCATGATTTAGGCTTTATTTTTATGTGTTTTTTTTTATTTTTTACATTGTTGCTTTGCTTTAATTGGGATAATTGTTGCAGTAATAGCTGCACCAATAGAATGATTTTGTCATTTTTGGTTTTGTTCATTTTTTTTCTACTATTGCTTTTTATCAGTAGACGGAGGTTTAATGTGTGTGTGTGTGTG